TTATGGTTTAAATAAGAAAGCCTGTGGTGAACGAAACGTTCTTGTCTATGATTTAGGTGGTAGATCTTTTGATATCTCCCTCCTAAATATCGAAGGAGGAATTTTTGAAGTAATATCTGTTGCTTCTTTGCGATGAAGATTCAACAATCGGCTTGTACTGTAAATCATTTCGTACAAGAAATTAAACGAAAATTTAAAAAAAATCTTACAATGAATGCGCGTGTTCTACGTACATTAAGAACAGCTTGTGAACGCCCAAAGCGTGAACTTTCATCATCGTTAAAAACCCTTATAGAAATAGATTCCCTTTTTCGAGGGTATCGATTTTTATACCTCCTTAACGCGTGCAAAATTTGAAGAATTGAATCAAGACTTGTTTCAATCTACAATGGAATGTGTTGAAAAAGTACTTCGAGATTCTAAAATCGAAATAAGTCAAATTCATGAAATAATTCTAGTTGGTGGTTCAATACGAATTCCTAAAATTCAATGTATGGTATCTGAGGTTTTCAATGGTAAAGAACTAAACAATCTATTAATCCTGATGAAACCATGGCCTATGGTGCCGCCATTCAAGCTGCAATTTTATCTAGTGATACATCTAAAAAAAACCAATGATTATCTTTTATTCGATGTCGCTGCTTTATCTCTTGGTATTGAAAGTGCCGACGGTGTCATCATACCACTTATTAAGCGTAATACTATAGTACCTACTAAGAAATCTGAAATATTTCAACAGAATTTGAAAATCAAACAGAAATACTTATTAACGTTTATGAAGGAGAAAGTGCCCGTATAAAAGATAACAACTTGCTCGGGAAATTCGAATTGACTAAAATTCCATCAGCACAAAAGGTGTGCCACAAATCAAAATCAGTTTTGATCTTAATGCAGACGCTATCTTAAACGAATGATTTGAATATTCATTTATTATACTTGTTGCCATTTCATAATATGGTAAAATCATATTTGGCATACAAAAGTAAATTTATTTTTCCCTTCCTATTGCAAATATCCCATATAATATTAACTTGAATTGATTGTAGGTGTTGAAGCCGTGATCCGTGACTGCGCCTTAATTAGTCATGTGATCAAAATGATTGATCTATTTAATACATTAGATAGATTAGTCATAATTATTGTAATCGTTATACTTGTTAATAATATAATAATTAGTATAGTACTTATATTTATTTTTATTTACTTATTTTATCTTTTATATTATATTTGTTATCGTATTTTTGTAGTATTTTATTTTATATAAATATCTTGTATTTTCCCCTGAGTTGAAAAGTAACTCGGGTTTTAGTATAAACCAAGGGTGGACAAAATACTGATATATAGATTAAATACTACTATATCGCATTGAGAAACCTATTTAATCGGAATGGTCTGTTCAGTTAAAATCTACCTGCAGGTTTCTTTTGATGATTCTTTAGCAAGCAGGGTAAATTCCTGCCGTAGATGTTAGTCTTCTTTTCAGTGACAAATTCTTCTTCGACACTCATTTCCGTATCGAATTTGTGTTGTAAATATTATCTGATTGGTTTATATATAACCATTTGGGAGCATTCTGCTGTGGGGAATAATACGAAATATGTACTTTCTATACCCATTAGAATTGATAGATATATCGTTTAAGTGCGTTTTTAGCATCAATCATTTGTCGTTAGTAATTAAGGTCATCTTTCCCTGGTATCCTTCTGTCAAATGTTTTGAGCACTTGACCGAGATTTAGATTTGCCAACTTGAAGTTCTTAGATTATAAATTTCGAGTCAAAATGACAAAGGTCATTTTCTAAAAAAATATCATATAAACTTGTAATTTACCATAGGAGAAGTTGTAAATTGTGACATGGAATTTAGGTACAAATTCTTCATGTGGTGTGAAATTATGATCAGAACTTTTTAACCCTCTGCATAAGGAATGAAAGAAATTCTCAAGTAAATATTAAATATAACGCAGTTATTATTAAAGTTACTGAATATAAAATTCTTACAAATTCAAATTCTATATGAGAATCAATTACGCACCTTCACATATGATATTTCATTTAAGACTGAGGTTAGAGAAGAACAATCTTACTGTATATGACATACTGTATAATGCAAGACTTATTTCTCTTATCAACTATCATAAGTCCGAAAATCTAATGAGCTTTTTACAAATATTCATAAGTAATAAATTGGAAAAATAATCAAGCTGTTTATAAGGATGAAAAAAGCAACGCTTATTATGAAGAAGTTATCATAAATGAATATTCAAGTAACTTTTTCATTCACAATTAACCTTATTACTTATACAATAATTAAAATTATAACGAAGTTTGCTCTTTTGTGATATCTGGGTGGTTGATCATTGAATTACATACACTTTAGTCCAACTGTTAAAAGTACTTTATATTTATTGAACTTTTTGAGGGAAAAATAACGAAATTGTAATGGTAGAAATTAAATTTCATGAGACTAATGACCAAATTTCGTAATCAATTTTTCTTTAAATCAAATGGTTTATTTATGAAGAAATAAATATACTTATTAAAATAAATAGAAGTAGAAAATAAAAAAGATATAGACAAATAAATAAGCATTAAATTTCTGTTTAGCATCACATATGATAATTCTTTGAAATTAATGTTTAAATACTTAATTAATATTCTTGTCTTCGATATTCTTGATATATATATCAAACCTACAAAAATTTTGTCTCTATAAAGAAATATTTCACATTCCTGAAAATTACTTTCTATATTAAAGTCTTTTCGGAGATTTTATCATTGTATACTTCCTCGTTACTATTTGTCCCTCTCCAATTAAAACAATATATAAAAAAATAAAATCCGACTTTACCAATCGAAAATAATTTCCTTCGTGTGGTAAAAAAAAACAAGATACAAAAAAAAAAAAAAAAAAGTTAAATAACCTAAAAATTAACCGAATAATAAAAAAATCGAAATAACGAAATAAAAAAAACTAATAAATTGATAAAACTTTAAATTTAGAAATAACTCCGCTCGATCAACATCTCTTCGTAGCTCATTTTAATAAAATACAAAAAATGATTTAGAAATTTGTAAAAAGATTATACGAATGAATCTTAATTTTTGAAAAGGTTGGCATTTAGCGCATTTATTTTCATAAGAGTTCAAGATAAACAACTCAACCTTCCATTATGTGCGGGAATGATATTATTTTGCCGTCATCACCGTTGTACTCTCACTTTATTGAATTAGAAATTTTTATCTTGATACACTTGGTCTCCTATCCATGATTGAAAATTGAGCAGCATCATTATGACTGATGAAAAGAATGAATATGATGTGGAAATGAAGCAGGTGTCGATGATGAGTTTGTAGTTAGGGTGTTAGAATTATTACTTGTAACTGCCATAGTTGCATGGAAATTAGAGGTTACTATTATAATGATCTTTTCGACTTGGCAAATATAGCATATTTGATGAAGACGAAAGAGCGACCAAACTTATCAACTTATCACATATAAAAAGATTACAAAATGTGATAATTGTCAAAAGCAGAAAATATTATTATAACAACTAATTTCCTATCTTTATTTTATCAATCGTTTCAAAAGTGTGTAATTTCTGGATTAACACTGAATACATACACAAATAAGTTGTTGGAAACTAAATAATAGAGAAAATATGATCTGAATATGTTGATGTCAGATTGATTTGATTTAATTATTTTACACTAACCTGTCTCTTTTAAACTGTGTGTGTTGCGTATTTTAGATTTTTATCTCCGCCCACTAGAGAAAGACTAGAGAAAGATATTACTTGCAACGATCGATATTATCCATCATCAAATTCTATTAGAATGCAACAAATTGATAAATAAAAAATTGAGAAATGTAATAACGGAACACATTGGAAAATTGTTCCTTATCTTTTCAAATTTTTTTTTTTAGAGAATCACAATTATAAAATCTGAACCCATTATCCAACCCAGCTGCGAAACAACCAAAATCTTGATTTAACCCAGCATAAAGCAAGTTAGGAGCGTACAAAGTGGAAGATAAAGGTTTAGATAAGTTCATTTTTCTTTGAATTTTTTGTAAGAAAAGATTCCAGCTAACAAAAACTTTATTTTCATTTTCGAAGCTTTGTCTTAAAAAGCGTGTACAAACTATTCTTTGGCCAGGTTGAGGACATTTGGAATTGAACGTCCTTTGTCAGCTCGACTGAATAAGATCAATTATTCATTATCATGATGTAGGTACAAGATAGAAGAATATTAAGTTTTGGAATTGATTATCAATCCTTTTATATGGCATCTTGATCATCAGATACACATGTAATTCACTAGTTGATGTATATTCTGCAGTCCAAGGATTTGCTTTATATATTGAATTTCTGAGTTATTCATTATCTGAGAGGGGCACCTTCAGTCGATTTTAGAGTTCACGACTATAAAGTTTTATGCTTAATTATCATGCCATTAAACGTTGATATTTATGATTCAAATTTCAAAAATAATATAAAATTTATTGAATTGAAAACCAAGAAATACTTAATAAAGCATATTCAATGATTTTATTTCACGTGGATTACTCTTAAATTGGAAATCATATACATATAAATGATTAAAAGTATTGCTGTTATACCAAAATCTACCTGTGTTATAGATGATGAGATAGTGAGATTTTCTTAACCTTGAAAGTCCACTTAATTCAACCATTCAATCAATAACGTCACGATTTTATTGTAATTCAAAATTTAATTTCTGTGCCATTGTTTTTCTTTTTCAGATTAAAATAGGTTTGTTATGGTCGGGGAAAAAATTAAAGTTACTTGATAGTCCGATTAGATTTTTGGATAAACGGAAAGTCCCATGGAGAAGCAAAATCAGGTAATTGATGTTTAGATTAAAGCTGAGCCTTAATTATCATTTGCGTCATTTCATTAAGTTTAAATAGCAGTGGGAATTTCACTGTCGATTTTTACGAAATCACCAAAAATCCTATCACGAAAGATTTCGTTAAGAATAAATTGTCATATCATTCTTAGATTTTCAGCATTTAAATCGAAAATAAATAATTTGTACCGCTGTTGACGTGCCGTTCGAACTTATTTCAAGTCCGTTTGATAATATTTCACGATAATATGAGTAGGTATGGTGAGTATTTTTGTGATTTAATGAATTTTGGTAAATTATACACTATATAAACATTTAATTCTTTATTTTATACAGGTGGAATTTTCACCTTCTACGATACGATTTCCCTAGCCTAAATATTTACAAAGGTGTATTCAGCCTTTTTTTTGATATTTTTCTGGAATCAACTTGTACGTCGATAAAAAAAAAAAATATAAATAATAAATAAATTTTTGCTATCTGTAATATTTTGGGGTCGAATGTGCTTACTAAATAAATTATTAAGAAATAAATAACAATCCGATCCGATCATTAACTCGTGGATTTGAGGATACAAGCATTAAATTAAGCGATGAGATTATAAATTTGACAGATAATACGGCTACTATGAGATTCTGAAATTTTTTTATAAAATTTACAAAATCTGGTTTCCTAAATCATCCCGAAAAACGTGATATCCCGGTCCAACTTTGATTATTATTACGATGTCTATCATTATAATTTTAAAATTTTAAAATATAAATCATTTAAGCATAGAGAAAAGAAATGCTTAACCTTACATGTAAAAGGTTAAATTTATTTTCTATTTTTTTTTGCGGTGACCAAACAAATTCAATTTTTGATTTGTTTAGTTAAAAGATAAGGTTTATGCTATGCTTTTAAGATTTACACCCGAATGAATATA